GTGTGTGTGATGTTCATTAGGTTCACAAATCCAAACTTGTATGCATTTCGCCAAAATCATCCATCGTTTTGATGAATATTATGAACCAGATTTTTCGCTAATGATATACACTATTGATCGTATAGATTGGCAGTTTCGTAGTTGATTGGAGGTTACGAAATCGTCTGAATAATATAGGTTCACGATGTGATACGATTTTTTTTACAAAATTACCGTTTGATAGTATGCATCTTGCTGCACATGCCTGCCTCTCCACAATCTATACATATACATATATATATATATATATATATATGCAGCTGATGAGTGTGTGTGTATATATATTAATATATATATATATATATATATGTATATATGCATGAACAATATATGCATGGTTTAATTAAGAGCATACATATTGTATGTAATATACATATATAGATGTTTGTTCGGAATACAAATTACTAATTGATGCATAAACCAAGAAAGGCAATTCCGCGTACAAATATTTGGTTGGAAGGTGGAAATGCCAGGCTTTTTGTGCATGGTTGTCATTATTTATTCAAAAACAAAGTGGTTTGTATATTATTTGATTTTGGATTTGGCTCCAAAACTATGTATTGTGCATCTATAACCAAACTAATCTTTGATTTTTATTTATTACAATATCATTTGGTTTTGATCCCTCTCCCAATTATTGATCAATCTACATTTCCTTCTCTTTTATATTTATCTTTTTTACAAGGTTCTAACTCATGGGGCAGGTTTTGAAACTACATCTGCTACTTACAAACTCATGCCTTGTCCTTACAAAATCTTTCTTTCTAATTAAATAATTAATAATTAATAATTAATAATTAATAATTAATAATAATAATTGAAGAAGATAAGGGGGTGGTTGCGTTGCTTTGGTTTGGTTTGAAATGCTACGCAACAATGTCACAAAATGCACATACAAATCATGGACCTAATCAACTACCCACTATTACTATTACTATTACTATATATATAGAAATCTACTACTTCAACTTTTGCTTCCTCGCTTGCTTGGCTTACACCACTCCCGAAGGCAGTCGCAAAACAAGTTGTCCTCCAAAAACACTGAAACAAGAAAAAACACCCACACCATTATTATTATTATTATTATTATTATTATTATTATTATTATTATTATTATTAACCATCTATCTATTACCACGTCCTAGTAACACAGTCGACTCACCTTTTCATGTAGTAGTAACAGAAGTCTGCTAATATGAACGTTTGAACGATCTCTGAGATAAGAACCATCGATGGCCATAATCCATAACCCAGGGCCGTAAGTAGATGCCCACGACTATCCAATACCTAAACCAATACTTATTATCAAATACATACTTACAATCTCTCTTGTTTTCACTTATAAAAGTATAGCCTAGATATTTGAATTCCATATCAAACCTGAAGAACCCAATGAGCACAACTCAAGAACCTTGCAACACCCAGAGCAAATACATAATGTGCCGTGAATGGTTCAACAATCTGTGAGATGAAACACACAGAAACAAAAGTCACCCAAAGTAAACAAGTTAACTAAGAGGAAAATAAAACTTCTTAAATATCAGACCTTTGTATTCTGCATAACCCTAAGTTGAGGTAGGACTGAAACTGCCTCAAGATAAACACAGAATGCCCAAAATATCCTGTTGATAATATGATGTGATGTTGATGGGTGAACTAACAGAGCTAGTACACCACAAGGAACCACCTACAACAAAAGTCATATCCAATTATCCAGGTAAGAATTTCTAACAAGATAAGGTCACAACAATCATCTGTTTTTTTAAGGATAAAAATAAAACAGACAATCAACAAGATTCATGCTAAAAGGCTTACCACATAGTACATTGCAAAGTTGTCTTTGTCCTCCATGTAGCTTGATTTCAGGTTAAAACGAATCATAAAGATAACCCACATTGTTGTAGCCAATGTAGCCAAATCAAGCAAGGTGTGTATATCATACTCCATAACGAAACTGCAGTACAGTCTAACAGCCAAAAACATAGCTGTTAGTTCTTGTGTTTTGAGTGATAGACCTACGATGATGCAACACACAAAACACTGATTGAGACCAACGAGCTTGTAGACAATGGAAATAAAGAAAATGTGAAAGCAATATGGCCCATTTTCTGTCGGATCTAATATTAATAAAATTTGTAGCCTCCATGAATGAATTATGAAAACTGAAAACAGCATATCCATCCCTACGAAACAGCTAAGAGAAATTAATAGGAGTGTAATCTCCTACTCTCATAAGCCAGAGGGTGTTAAATGTACAGTTGTTGCTCGTATATAGTCTACAATAAGACATGGATTCAAGAAAAAATAAAAGATGAGAACATCTCAAAGCTATAACCAATACTCTGAGAAGCAAAAGGAATCACCTTGACCAAAGAGATCCTAACTAACATGAAGCTTACAGGTATGAACTAGTGACAACTGAAACCCATTACAAAAAATAAATTGAGTTTCCAATCGACTTGGCCGTTTAACATTTACAACTTGCGAATACAAATGGGAAAGAAATACATAATCGAAAACTGGTGCTTATAAAAAAAAATAGTCATCATTGTTAGATCATTGTGGCTTACTCCTTTGTCTAACAATGGATTCTCATATTTAACCAGTCCATGAGGCATCAGACGGCAGTTTCTAACTTTGGCACAGATCTAATGTTACATGTACAATTTCTTTAGCACCATCTAATGCAGTAATGCTATGCAAAGACATCTTCACTATCCTTGCCATTTGAGAACCACAAGATGATACGTGGCCTTGTAAAACTAGTTATACCTCCTTTCCAAACAATCAGTAATGTAGGCAATTCTGTGCTTGTTTGCTCAAATTGTTGGCCATAGAAGTTGCTAATTCGTAGTCAATGCAGTAGGCGTTACTACTATAGTCCCCATCGTCTCACATGACGCCATGTAATTTATATGGATTATTTAATACATAGGGGTAAATTTGGAAATTACTATGATGTAATACATACTTTCTATAAGCGAACCCACAAAAGAAAATACACATGCAGCTATAGCTAGATAAGTTAATGCATGTTTTTGGTAAGTTGTCATGCAGGGTATGCTCCAAGTAAGAGCCTTTTTGCTTCAATGTATCGGCATGGCTTTTTTTTTTCAAAATCAAACCCTAGTTTGAAGTATTCAATAATTTCCAACCACCCCTGTGTATTAACACAAGCCTTTTAAATCTTAAAATTCTAAAAGAAGTTGTTTAAACTCCTATATCAATCAAATACAATTACACAACCCTTAAATCAACATCTATGAATCTTTTGCCAACTAATTCATCCGAAAATTTATAATAGAGCCTCCTAATAGATGTTATTTTAACAAAAAGTCTTTGAGTTCCATTATAAAATTATAGCAAAATTATAACTTTGTTGTTAACCTGATATTCTATGACAACTTATATAATTCATAAAGTGATGAATATTAACCAATCAATTTTTAAGCTTACATTGTTGAATCGAATCCTCAAAATTTGACGATGAAACTTAAGGGATAAAATTATACTGGTTTCAGTATAATCTGTTAAAGTTATCTGAATTTATATGAGATATTTAATGCTCTTAGATATTCAAAACTAAGATTGATAGTTCATTATTTAGAACTTAATCTCGGTTAAAATTAAATGCTCATAAAGTAAACTAAAATAATTGCTCTTGGCTTTGAATATGAAACAGAACAAAGCATGCCCAATAAAAGTTGATATCTTATGTGCGAGCAATGGCATGCAGTCACCGCATGAAATAGTAATACCATGTGAACTTTGTGCTTTAAAATGTGTACATAAGGTGTCTACTGTCTACTGCTGAAAGTTATGCAACGACTATTTATCAGTTCCCTCACTCGCTTGTAGTAAATACTTGACTTTACTTTACTTTGCACCTTCATTTTTTAACTTATAAGAGCGACACAACACTTAAAAGGACCTGGACTCCTGGTTTTACCACTAGTGTCACGTATATCTTTATGGCATTTATGTAATTTCCAAGCACAACTGCACGTAAACATACCAGATATATCTACCTAAGACATAGAAATAAGCCCCAAACATGACAAGGACTCTGCACATAAATTCACCAGCTACCATAGCTTATTGCGAGAACGTAAGCATAGTTCTAAGTTTTGACAAACCAGACCAGATGACATATTCTAAAAAGAAGGAAAACCCCAATTTTACCGAAACAAAAGAGAAGGAAACCATATAAGTTCATAAACCACAAATTTACAACACAAGGGGGCGAGAGAGAATGCACTTTGACCTTTGATGACCAACTACAAGTTTTTAATACAATTATAGTTATATATTGTAAGAAAATTGATGCTAATAACCATAAATAAGTATTTGTAACAAGGTTTATGTCGCTAACAAAGTCTTCTTGAATTCAAAGAAGCCATACTACTTAGTTTACAGGTATGGAGGGTGTGTAAAGTACCTTGCAAGCCAATTTGACAAAATAATAAAGAGAAAGTAGTTTGTTTTATACAAATGCCTCAAAGAAATCCCGATTGGAACAGTTGCACAAAATATTAGGCAAAACCTACCCCCTTCATTTTAAAAAAGGGCTAGCTTTTTTATTCATCATGTCAAACCAAATGCAAAATTGATATGTGTACAACTGCAAAGTTAACGAAACAATACTGACTGACTACAAAGTTCAATACAGACATCAATTTTTTTGGGAAGTTGTTGGAATCTTACACCAATTTTGAAATTTGAATTACCTCCTTAATATCTAAAATAAAAGTATATCCCCAATGGCAACCTGCGACCAATTTAATAAAAATATAGTAGAAATTCATCATCATTCTGCTACAAAACCCCAATTATGAACAAATTCATTAGCGAAGTCCTGTGTAGAATCATTAATTTCATATTAAATAGAACAACTTACTAAATTACCTACTTCAAAATCTTAATCTCATCCACATGCATAAGGCCGGTACACTTGCAAACCTATTACATTGAGCATATAGATGATTATGCAAGTAATTGATTTAATTACTTACCAGCACAAGTTTTTTCCTTCATGAGCTTGTAGATAAGAACGGAGATTCCAATGGAGTGAACAGCCTCGGCAGCAACGAAGAGATTGTCATGATCGTGCACGATCACACGTAGCAAGACCAAGGCCACCATGCCGGTGACTACGGCGAGAAAAGCTTTCACCTTTGGTGGTTGCCGCCGTACCCATGACGATATCACGTGGATCGTCCTCTTTGGTGGCCTCATGTATGTTTTTAAAATCCTTGAAACTTGTGTATGCTCTCTCTCTCTCTCTCTCTCTCTCTCTCTATATATATATATATATATATATATTGCTGATTGATGACGCTAGTGGTTAGGGTTTGATCACGGCGGAGATTGGGTGGCCGATTTAGGGGGTGCGGGGGGATTTTTGGGGAAAAGTCGGTGACCAGATGGATTGTGGAAAAGGATGTGAGCTTATTGGCTAATCCCTCTTCGTTTGGTGCATCTTAAAACGTTGAACAACTTTTAATGCATCACGTACAATTGCCTGATTCCGAATTCAATATTTTCACACTTGTATTTTTCGCAATTCCTTAACAATTATTATTTAACTGATGATATTGTGTTTTTGCTTTGTTTATTTAATAATATTAAGTTTTTATTTTTAATTACCATGAGTGTGCCTTAACCAAATTAACTAGTGCTATACTCATACATTGGTTGGGTACACGATATGAATTTATACAATTATAAACGTCCCCGAAACATAAATAAAGCATACTATACAATTGTAGGTAAGTCTAGACACAAACCTTTGCACTCGAATGGCTTCATACGTTTTGCTACAATCTTCAAATTCTAGTATAGAAACCATGCACGAGCAACCACCATAAATAAAATCTTGACTACAATTGCAATGAATTTTTGAATCTGAAAAACAAAATTTTGTTAAAACCTTATATGTGCAAAGTGTTAAAATATATACCAAAAGTTTGTCTTAATTCATGAAAAACTAACATATTACAAGATTGGGAGATTAAATCAACACATACAGAACAATTATAACAAAAGCGTGGAAATATACTTCTTTTTATTGATCCTTCTCCCAAACAAACTCTCCTACACCTTGTTTGCATGAGTTACATTGTGATGTGCTAAAATCGTAAGTGTGCACACAGTGGGCATAAAATCCCCAAAGTAGCGGTGCAAGTGCACGCCGACACTAAGATCGCTTCAAGTAATAAAGTGGTATAGTACCAAGATCRTTTCCACAGGGACCGGACTTACTGAGAATCAGAGACTTTCATGAACTTCTTGAACAATGTTTCGGGTTGAGAAAATATTTGAGTTTTGATTGGTGCAAAGCGTAAAAATACGAAATAAACYTTTAATATTAAAAGATGGGTATGGGTGTAAGCTTTGCTTAAGAATAAAGCAKGAACGACTTGGTTAGAAACCCATGTGATTTCTATAAGAACTCATTTCTCTCGAAAGTGAATTCTTATATACTGTGCCCACAGAGTGCCCACAAAGCGTCCAAAWTTATCAATCTTAAACTTGCCGATTTAGCTACTAGATAAAAAGATATCTGGCTCCACTAGTCTGAAGATTTATACTCACAACGTATTGTAGCATAAACTCGACTAATATCTGAACAAAAGCTAAAAACATGCAAAACCCGCATCTYTGCGTGATCATCAAAGACTCTCTCGAACCTTTGTGCATCATCTAAGCCGTATTTCAGATCCGCCCATCTCTGGATCAAGGATCTAATATTAACACTTCAAAGTGATCGGCTTATCCGCGTTGAGTTTACGTCCCGACTTAAATGACCAARYTTAARAATCAATAAAAATGGCAACACCCAAGTGTGCCCTTAAATCCTTAAGCTTGACTCACACCCACACCCAAGGGGGTGCTTAGCTCATAATGAAATTAGAAAGCATAACAGAAATAGAAGAAGAAAGCTGCATAAGAAATACTTGAACTGAAATTAAATACTTACTGGTGCCCACAGAGGGCACACAATGGAGTGGCGAGAATAAAAGCTAAATTACGAAATTTAAATTACAAACTGAATATAAACTAATTCTGCTACTACAAAGCTTTAAAGAAGATGCTCCAAGGTGCTGGTGGAAAAGTTGGTGTTGGAAAAGTTTATGTTGGATGGATTGGAGATGCCTCAAATATATAGGGGGAAAGGTGGGACCCAAACTCTTTGTCCAATGGGTAATGACCACCCATCACCACATGTCTTCTTCAATCTTCATCAAGTCACCTCCTCTTGAAAGGTTGCAAAAGGGTGAAGGTACAACCAATAAATGTGATGGAAAAGCCATTACATCATGGTACAATATGAACTCATCCAAGTCTCATCATCCCAACTAGGTTCAATCTTCCATGCAACCAAGTAATTAGATTTGAACTTAGCATTAAATCTCAATAATACCCAATAATATGAATATCATAATTTTGTTCAAATCCAACTAGATGCCAAATTTACCAACAATAAAGAGTTTTTTAGACAATAATTAAATTCTTAACCTTTCATCACCTCTTAACATATTTTGGACCAAAAATATAGAATATGAGCAAAATGGGTACCAAAGATACAATAAAATAGGGGTATAGAACAACAAATAACTCTAACAAAATGAGAGTTATCACATTGCTACAATATCTTGAAAGATGGTCCCTAGTTATTTCAATAAAAGAAACAAATCCAGTAAAGCAAAGGCATTTTCAGTGTTGGATAAATTCTAGGTAGCTCTCGGCACGCCAAGACTAAAGTGGTAATTGGTCCAAAAGAATTCTACTTTCCAAACTCCCATATCTATATCTATTGCACCTCTCCAACTTTTGGAACCACCACAAACTGCATAGATGGGGAAAAGGTCGAAGGCAGCCGAACCAACATGTGTACTAAGCCTAAACCTATTAATGTCACAATCAACAACATTTAAATCATTGTTCATCCAATTCAAAAACGTTTCCATATGCATTTGTTTGTTTTGGTGACAAATTGAGTCAATAAAATCCAACACATAAGATAAGAGGATATAAAAATGGAATTGAACCTCCAACATAGAGTTGGCTAAGACTCCGTATTGCATAGCCAAATAGATCTGTGTGAAGCTAGTTCCAAAAGCCAAGAGTGTAATCTCTGCAATTGTAAAATTCCAAACCTTTTCATGTTTGATAATTTTTGTATTGGTAGTAGGATGAATCTCCACCACCATTTGAGTTTGTTGTACAATGGACCGAAAAAACCTTGCAGTTATGGCCAAGACTCCAAGGAAACAATAAACAAGTACTAGAAGACACAAAAATGCACAAACTCGTCTCCAATTGAAGTTTCGCCATGGAAAATAAATTTTGTTTCTCCGGTCTCCTCCACAAATAAGGCCGTGTCGGATCTATTGTGTTGTTATTATGCACCAAGGTTATTTCTGACCAAATATCCTAGAGAACGATGAATCTATGTTTAGTGAAACTTTTGAGGAAGGAATGATAGCAAGTGAATTGCATATCTAGAGGGAGATTGCATGACATAGCCTTTCCTTTCTGATATTTTGGTGATTAGGAAAAGCAGAGGCTCTAATTGAATCGCATAGGTGATGATATTTCGAAAAGCAAAAGCAAAAGCAGATTCAGCATCTGTTTTTCATTGTTGATACAACTGAAAATCATTCTACAATAGGAATCAGCAACTAAATGATTTATGAATTTAATTGATCAGGAATTCTTCTATACAAACGAAATTATCTAAATTACAAATATTTGTCATAAATTCAACTTTGCATCAACAAACATACATACTTATAGATGGAGACCAATGCCCTTGAATATCATATTTAGGAAAACCTGAAAATTAACTTACAGAAAAATTAAAAAATGTCTTTTTTTGAATAGATTGCCTTGTGCAATTAGTTGAATAAAAATTGTTGGTCGAGGAATTGAAGAAATTAAGCAGGAGAAGAAAGATAAAGTGTGAATTGTGAGAATAGAGTGAATCTACTTGGTGGTTTTGGCTTTGGGGGTAGTTGGTTTAGGAATTAGGCGTGCTTTTTGGGACTTGATCATGAGTTAAAAGAGAGATGCAGGGGAGTGGGCGTGGAGGGTTGGAAAGTGTTTAACATAGTGTATACATAAGGGGTTTATAATGGGAAATCAAAAATGAAAAATTGAGATATTAAAAGCAACTTTTAAAAATAACTCAATACGTATTTATCATATTTAATAATATTATTAAATTCAAAAGTATCCGGTATTGGACCCATTTTAGAGGTATTAAAGAGAATTATAATGGTATAATTTATAAACAAATAAATGCTTTTTTAATTAATATATCATTATTTATGTTAATATGAAAATGGTATAAATGAAAAAGAAATGGATATAAAGCTAATTAAATAACTAATTATAAGGGTGTAAAGTGTAAATTAAAAATAAAAAATAATTTTATTTGTTAATTATCATGTTGAACATGGGAAACTTCAAAATTATACATGATAAATTAAGATTTGTACCTTTTAAAAATTCAACAATAACTATCATATGTAATCACAAAATAAACAATTTAAAGGGCTGAGATTTAATATTAAATATCTAAGATTTAAATGACGTTTTTTTTTTTAGTCAGAGCCTCAGAGGGGTAAATGTTATATATAAATTTCAATCACACTTTGGTCCTTGTAACTTGTTTTTCAGATGTCATTTATTTATGTCCTACAAAACCAAGGGATCTGCAAGAGACAGTTTGTCAAGCAACCAAGGTCTTGAAAAACCAAAACAAACAAATGATGTGGCTCCCCTATTCTATTCCAACATGCATGCAGCCACTGATTTCATCTTAGGAAACCAATCCAGTGAACATCTACAACCTTACCCCATATCACCCACCATTCATACATGCCATGTGAAGTGATCATACCAATCAATACCCACTCCTACTTCTGTTTTGGAGATTAACTTGGAATGGTGTAAGAATCAAGCCCAGAAGCAGTCGTGGCTGGACAATCACAGCCTATGGAGCATGAGGCAATGATAATGAGTGTCATTGATGAAAGTGATTCAAATGAAGAAGAGGAGGATGATATATGATTCCATGGATGAAGATGTTGCAGTGACGAGTGCTGAATTGTTGTAGCTATAGCCTATAGGCATAAACAGTGAAGCAGCAAACTCCAAAGAAGAAGGTCACGAAATCTAAGAAAGCAACAACCCTATTTGTCAATCAAAAGAAAGCAAAGAGATCAAACACCCCTTTTGGCACTTTATGTATAAGGAGGCCTACAACCAATTTACTGTCATGGCATCCATGGAGACAACTCTTAGGTTACTGTTTCAATCCTTAATTCCTAGAGATGTATCTAGTTTTAAGGGACATGATC